AAAAACAAAAGTGGTTTTCTCAATACAATTGAGAAAGCAGTTAATGTAAAGACATAAACACAAACAACTCATGGTTGTAGACAGTTTTGATGTGGACTGCAATACTAAATAAAGAAATAAGAGGGGTTTAACCTTGGGATTTTTAATGACATGCCACTCAAACGGAAACAAGTGAATTCAAAAGTGTTGTCGGTCACTTTAGACTGAAAAGAAATAACTTTTAAGATATCAAATAATTTGCACTAAAATGCTGTAGGCCAACAATATGCCTTGTTTATTTAAAACCTATTGTGTTTGATCACTTCACAAAACTGCACAACTTGACTGACCTTTGCCACCTTGTATCTTGATTATCTGTCTCCGTGTGAGATGCCTCCTCAAGACAGCTTGCAAGCATTTCACAAATTGTAATAAAGGAACCACCTCTATGTACATCAATACTGACAGATCTGGACCATCTTATTTTCACCTGATATATGTTCAGGCTCAATTGAAAACTAAATTATGGAATGAATAGATGTACTTGAAGAGTGCATATGGCCATGTGGCCTTATCTTACACACACATTTTGAGAAGCTATTTTGGAGATTCAATATCCATAGTAATATGTTCCTATATACAAATAATTATTGTACAAATAATTGATATTTTCACAAATTTTATTCCCAATACCATATAAATTCATATCTTGTGTGCTACAGTGAAGACTCCGATGAAAAAAATTCCATGCTACAGGATTTCATAGCTTTAAACTTCAGTTTTAGAGACTTTAAAAAATACTTCAAATATATGATTGTAATTTTACAGAAAGTTTAAAACATCTTTGAGCTTACAAACCTCCTTATCACTCTTCATAATTTGCTTAGACCCATCCAGTTTCTCATATCCTCACTTTCCTTAGCTACCTCATGCTACTAGTATCTGTTGGTAGCAAACACATAAACAAATGTGGCCGTTTAGAAAGGCTTTGGCAAATTTATCTTAAAAGTCAAGTGGGGTTAGAAAAGCTGCAGTAAAGGCTCAATGCAGCATCTCTAGTAATAAGTGGTTAAAAAAAAAAAGGTCATTGGAGATGGATGGTAGTGGTGCTTATACAACAATGTTAATGTGCTTACTGACACAGAACTGTGCACTCACCAGTGCCTAAAATGGTAAATTTTATATTATGTATATTTTAAACAATTTTTTTAAAAAGCAGTTAAGATTAACTTGAATGAGGAATTAGGCACGGATTTTAAGAAACTACCTGCCCTACAAAAGAAAAAAACAAAATGATTATACTACAAGGATGCAAAGATAGCTGATAAATTAAGCAGAAAAAACAAACTTTCTTTTCAATGTATTGAAGCAAACATTTAAGAATTCCTTGTTGTTGGAGTTCATTCAAACACAGGATATTTACAAATATCATGTAAAGTAGCCAAAAGATAATATTAAAGTAAGACAAAGTTTATTAAATACTCTTTAGTCCATTCTCTATGTTTTTCTAACTGGCCATTTTTTTTCTTCTTTTTTTCTAGTTTGTTATTTTTTTTTTTTACCTGATGCACATGAGCATATAACTTGTCTGTGTAACTATGTATATAGATGAAAAGGAATAAAGTAAAAAGAAGTGAAAAATAAAACTGCCTTAAATACTGATGAACTTTAAGTAGTTGAATTTTTTTAAAGTAAACTCTAAGTCATACTGTAGGGCCTACTTTCCCACTTTTTAATAGCTTTCTAAAAAAACTCAAACCTTGAAGTGCATGCAATTAGAAACATGCAACAGTGAGGCTAGGCTTAGTCACAGTACTATTTCAATGCAAGCTGCTTCTATTTTTGGTGTCCTACAGAGAAATAGAATTAGAATGTTCTGACCTCTGCTCATTCTGTAGGTGAGAGCACAAAGCTGACTATTTAAAAGATTGGGGCAGGGGACATCCTTTGTAGCCAGTTCTTTCTCATGTATTATGTATTAGGTAATTATTTTACTATGAGGTGGACAATTGATTTTTATACACAATCAGCTCCAAGCTCTCCTGGACAGATTGCCATGAATGTGTCCTATCTATGGCATCGGAACATGGTTTCTTCCTTGTAGTCATAATATTCTAATGGTTTTGTGCCCTTGCTATATGTTTTTAAGACTTCTCCATGATCTAAAATAGTGCAGTGTTACATAAATTCATAGCATTTTAGGATTAGATGAATTTTAAATTCATCCAGTTCAAGTACTCATCTGAGGCTTGAATCTCTTCAAGTACTTACATGGCCTTAGCATTAATATTCTTTTTTAAAAAAGATTTATTTATTTTGGGGGGGACATAGAAAGGAAGGGAGAAAGGGAGGGAGAGAAACATAAGTGTGAGAGAGAAACATCGATCGGTTGCCTTCTGCACACGCCCCAACTGGGGATGGAACCCACAACCAGGCATGTGCTCTGGTGGGGAATCAAACTGCCGATCTTTTGTTTGGTGGTACAATGTGGGCCTTATACCAACTGAGCCATACCAGCCAGGGTAGCATTAATGTTCTTTGCAACAAAATGGTGGAACTGCTTAATTCTGCTGGAACATATGTAATTAACAACAGGAAAACTAATAATACAGGAGAAAATTATCATTTCTTCATCTGCAAAAGATTTATAAGATAAAGAATTAAATGAAATAACCTACACAGTCATACCTAGTAGAGTGCTAGAAATATAATATATACTAAAAACGTCATATTTAAATTCATTTTTATCACACTCACTACTCCTTATGTTTCAAGCATCTGATACTGGTTAAAGTCACCTAGATTTTGGGGACCTGGTTGTGATTATGTTAAGGGACTGGTAAAATTTTTGTAAATATATCATGGTACAGCCATAACCCTAACACCACAAGAGTCTATTATATAATAGAAGCACCTTTATTTTCATGTTAAATATTTGTGAGCTAGTTCTATATCATGATATTAGATTAATGATACTTGAATAATCTTAACTTTAAATTCACCTTTCCATTTACTCACTAATGCTAACATCTTAGTTACAAACTATAAAAGTCACCAGATATTTTGGAATCTTATGATAGCCTCAGTAAGTACTTGTCTTCACAAATGCAAGATTGCTCTTTTATTTCATTCATACTCTTTGTTGACTAGATATCGAGAAGAACAAAAAATCTACTAACTTCATCTAAAATATCCCATGTGCACATTTCTTAATTTTATATTCAGATATTAAAAACCCCACAAAACTTCCCTCTTATAAAATCACATTTGACTAGGTATTATAATCTTTGAGCTATATTTTTAAATTTTCTTAAAGATTTATAGTTCTATGGCTATGATTATTTAGCAATCCGAATATAGTTTTATTGAAAATAAATTAATTTGAATTATAAGTGTGTGACCTAAAACTTCTTAAAGTAATTAGCAGCTCTGGTTTACCTGAAAGATGCAGTTATCAGGAGCATATAGTTTAATCTCAGCATATCTCTAATATCAATGTTATTTAAAGCCATACATTAAGAGTCATAAGCATCTGTAGTGACAGAAGAAGCATGCAGCAAAGCACTGGAAAACTGGAATAGAATTAATTGGCTTTGGTCTACCCACTTCAAATTAGAAAATAGCAACAGAAAAAAAAATTAAAGACTAAATGTATTCGTTAGGCAGGATCAGCAATCATGCTGCCCACACATGATCAGCAATTAATTTGTAAACAAGAAGATTCATCACCTGGAGGATAATAAACTCTAGTTTTATGGCCCAAAAGACTAGACAAGTAAAAAACCACTAATGAATTCACTGTGTAAACACAGGGGCAAGAATGTACATTGGTTGAGTAAGTGAGGATAACAAGGAGACTCTGTTTTGTTGTTAGAGTAGACCAAAAGATACATGATGCATATATGGAGATTTTCTGGTGTTAACACTTCTCAAAACAGGGTCATTTAAAAGGCATGAAAAAGTGTTACTATCAGTAAGGAGGGCAAAAGTTGATTTTTAGAAAGAGCATTTTAAAAACAAGGATCAGTGTAAAAAAACCTGAGTTACCTTAATTTTAATTAAATTTTCATAATTGCATATTAGAAAATTCTATGAATAAATAGTAATCTGAAGTGACTTTAATTTACTATCTTCAGATATAACTAGGACTATGAAGGGACGTCCCCAAACATTATTTATTGAGAAAATAAGCATTAAATGGATTTATCAGTAGTGTCTTACTTTGGAAAAGGCTTTGATGTGAAAACTCATTTCGTTCCTATAAGTTACAGTTGCATAGCAAACCAATTTTGAACTCAAAGTACTCAACTTTACATCTGTTCAAGAGAGAATTTCTTATTTAGTGTCAACTAAAAATTCTGAGAAACACAGAGGTAAACAAATCAATTAGGATGTTTATGTAAAACATGGAGTCCTGGTCTCTACCCATACCAACTGCAACACAATCTCTGGAAGTGGGGACCCTGGAATCTGTATACATTTGTAACAATTATCTCTACTTGATTCTGGTGAATACAAAAGTTTAAGAACAAGTTTATTAGTTAATATCCATGTTTTCACAAATTTCTATAAATAGTTCCTTTTTATAGACAAAATTATTTTTTAATAGACATATGAAAATACATTTTTGAAGTGTAAAAAGTAGGCCTGAAATTACTTACGTGAAATAAGTTCTCAGACGTGGAGCTAGCTTAATAGGCTGAAATGAAAAAGAAAAGAAGTCAAAGGGAAGTCTTAATATAGTAAATAGCATTCAAATTTTTGAATGCTCTGCACCTCAATATTAATTGTAAATACAATCAATATATCAAATATATCACTTATTAAGCAGCTTCAGCTTTCAAAACATCTCTACTCAAACTGATCATAGAGGACTCAAAATAAATACCATAAACCATACTAAAGTCTATCTGATTAATCAATAGGAGCTATATTTGACCCAATTTTAATAACTTCATTTGTCTGGTTTCTCTGACCATAACACATTAGAAGTAGCAATATTTCAAAACAAAGGTTAGGCAGTGCTCACTTCAGCAGCACATACACTGAAACTGGAACAATACAGAGATTAGCATGTCCCCTGCACAAGGATGACATGCAAATTGTTGAAGCGTTCCAGACTTCACATTTCGCCAAGGAGGACATACCCAGGACCCAGAGACATATGAAAAGATTCTCAGCATCACTAGCCATCAGAGAAATGCAAATTGAAACCACAGTGAGATACCACTTCACACCAGTGCGAAGGGCCATCATGACCAAATCAACAAACAACAAGTGCTGGTGAGGGTGTGGAGAAAAGGGAGCCCTAACACACTGTTGGTGGGAAGGCAGACTGGTGCAGCCACTGTGGAAAACTGCATGGAATTTCTTCAAAAAGCTAAAAATGAACTGCCTTTTGACCCAGTGATTCCACTGCTGGGATTATACCCTAAGAATCCTGAAACACCAATTCAAAAGTACCTATGCACCCCAATGTTCACAGCAGTATTATTTACAATAATCAAGTGCTGAAAACAGCCTAAGTGCCCATCAGTAAAAGAATGGATAAAAAAACTGTGGTACATTTACACAATGGAATATTATGCAGCAGAAGGAAAGAAGAAACTCCTACCCTTTGTGACACCATGGATGGAGCTAGAGAGTATTATGCTAAGTGATATAAGCCAGTCAGTGAAAGACAAATAGTATAGGATCTCACCTGTAAATGAAACCTAATCAACAAAACAAACAAGTGAGCAAAATAGAACCAGAGACATGGAAATAAAGAACAAACTGACAGTGGCCAGAGGGGAGTGGGAAGCAGGCTAACAGGAGAAAGAAAGGGAAGGGTAAAATCAAGGTACTTGTTTAAAGGACCCATGGACAAAGACAATGGGGGCGAGGACCGAATATGAGAGATGGGGGGCGAGGGTGGGTAGGGCAGTGAAGAATGATGGGGAAAAAGTGGGGAAAACTGTAATTGAACAACAATTAAAATTAAAAGGTTGGACAAAGATAACATTTGTTCCTAGAAGTTAATTATTAAAAGTAATATTTGGAAATAAAAAAGAGGAAAAATGCTTATTTAAAAAAAAAAACAAGCCCCAAAATACTAGACTAAAATATTGTAAAAAGTGATTTTAAAAAGCATAGTAATGTGTGGCTTTTTAATGTAGGATCAAGCACTAGAATAATCTTGTATAGTGCTGTCACTGATGTTTACAATGATCACAAAATAATCAGGAAACAAGTTTATTATGCTCTAGTTTAAGAGAGAGAAATATATCACTCAATTTAGAAAGATTTTGCTCTGGCTGGTGTGGTTCAGCGGATTGAACGCCAGCCTCTGAACTGAAAAGTCACCAGTTCGATTCCCAGTCAGGTCACATGCCTAGGTTATGGGTCAGGTCTCCAGTTAAGGGTGTATGAGAGGCAATTGATCAATGTTTCCCTCTCTCTAAAAAATAAATAAAATCTTTAAAAAAAAAAGAGAGAGAGAGAGATTCCGGCCAAGATGGAGCCATAGGTAGATATGCTTCCCTTCCTCACACAACCAAAAGGATAACAACAAATTTAAAAACAAAAAACAGCCAAAACTGCCAGAAAACCAAACTGTAAGGAAGTCTGACAACCAATGACTTAAAGAAGAAACATTCATCCAAACTGGTAGGAGGCATGGAGACAGAAGCCAGGTGGAGAGGGTGTGTGACAAGGCAGCGGCTCGCAGACTGGGTGGGCCAGGCAGCAGCTGATGGACCAGGCGATCCCACATTCATGTGCAGATAAGCTGGGAGGAACAACTAGGGAGTCATACAGATGGCACAACACAGGGTTCCAGCACAATAAATAAAGCCTCAACACCTCTGGCTGTAAACACCTTTGGGGGTTGCAGCAGTGCAAGAAACTACCAGTCTCACAAAAGAGTCCGTTGGAGGGACCCACGGGATCCTAGAACGTGTACAAGTCTGCCTACCAGGGAATCAGCACCTGAAGGGGCACAATCCATTTATGGGAAGGGAGGGAAATGACTGAAAGGGGTGGAGTAGAGGGGAGAGCTGAGCAAGTCCCATTATTCCTTCTCTGACTCCTCCCCCACAATGCAGTGAAGTGGGTTGCCCAGCCTGGGTGAAAACCTAAGGCTCCACCCCTTACAATATAACAGGTGCACCAAGACAAAAAAATACGGCCCAAATGAAAGAACAGATTAAAACTCCAGAAAAAGAACTAAGTGATGAGGAGATAACCAACCTATCTGATGCAGAGTTCAAACACTGGTAATCAGGGTGCTCATAGAAATGACTGAGTATGATCACAAAATAAAGGAAGAAATGAAGGCTATACAAAGTGAAATACAGAAAAATATACAGGGAACCAACAGTGAAGGGAAGGAACCCAGGACTGAAATCAATGATTTGGAACAGAAGGAAGAAATAAACATCCAACTGGAACAGAATGAAGAGACAAGAAATCAAAAAAATGAAGAGAGGCAGAGGAACCTTTGGAACAACTTTAAAACATTCCAACATCCATATCACACGGGTGCCAGAAGGAGAAGAGGAAGAGCAAGAAATTGAAAATGTATTTGAAAAAATAATGAAGGAGAACTTCCACAATCTGGAGAAGGAGCTAGACATGCAAGTCGAGGATGCTCAGAGAATCCCAAAGAAGTTGGATCCAAGGAGAAACACACCAAGACACATCACAATTAAATTACCCAAGATTAAAGATAAGGAGAAAAATCTTAAAAGCAGCAAGAGAAAAGGAGAGAGTTACCTACAAAGCAGTTCCCATAAGACTATGAGCTGATTTCTCAAAAGAAATGTTACAGTCAAGAAGGGACTGGAAAGAAGTATTCAAAGTCATGAAAGCCAAGGACCTTCATCCAAGATTACTCTATCCAGCAAAGTTATTATTTACAATGGAAAATCAGGTAAAGTGCTTCCCAGGTAAGGTCAAGTTGAAGAAGTTCATCATCACCAAGCCCATGTTATATGAAATGTTAAAGGGAATTGTCTAAGAAAAAGAAGATCAAAAATATGAACAGTAAAATGACAACAAACTCACAACTATCAATAACTGAACCTAAAAAACAAACTAAGCAAACAACTGGAACAGGAACAAAAATCACAGAAATGGAGATTGCATGGAGGGTTATAAGCGGGGATGGGGATGGGAAAAATGGGGGGAAATGTACAGGGAATAAGAAACATAAATAGTAGATATAAAATAGACAGGGGAGGTTAAGAATAGTATAGGAAATGGAGAAGCCAAAAAACTTACATGTACGGCCATGGACATGAACGAAGGTGGGGTGGAATGCCAGCTGGAGGTGGAGCAGGGCAGAGGGGGACAAAGGGGAGAAAAGAAGTGGGACAGCTGTAATAGCATACTCAATAAAACATACTTTAAAAAAAGAAATATTTTAATCCAAACTCTCTAAAATTAACACTTTTTTAAATACTAAAGAGGTAAATTTTACCTATTATTAAAGTGCACCAGCAGGATTTACCTCAAAGAACACACCGTTATTTCCAAATAGTTTTAACCTAAAAAATAGGTTGTGTTACTTAGACATAGGCGCCATCTAGTGGCAAGAGGCAATAGTTTCAGGGCAATTGTTTTGACTTTGGATTAAGACAATAGGGAACTGGCTACATCCAGAGATTTTGTTTAAGGTTTAAAATAATTGTCAGTTTTAAATTGTACGGACTACATTGAATATTATTTATTTAATTTCAAAAGAGTTCATACTAATGGATATCACAAAGTGAGAAATAAATTGAAGGTGATGAAGGTAGGTCAACATAATTAAAAATAAAGGGGATATAAAATGAAAAATAAACACAAATAGAGTGAAAGGAAAAACTACATTGAATATTGATTATGGATAACTGCATGGGTAAGGCTAACATTGAATTGAGAAAATAAATATAATGATTAATTATGAGAACCTTGAAAGCAAGATGGAACTGGAAAATAAAAATATGGAAGATGAAAGAGGGGTTTATTGGAGTTCAAGCACCTTAAGATCCCTGATTTGGAAGAAATGAGAGACATATTGACTAAATATATATTGATAAGTTAAATAGTGATGTTAACATACAAGGGTAGCAACTAAGAATGGCTAAATGTATAATGTACAAGCTATGATTTCTAAATTATATACAATCATTATAATAATAACTAAGTGATTTACAAATATTAAGACATTTAAGTCTCACAATAATTCCATTGAATAAGAAGCATAATTGTCTGCATCCTGGCTCCAGAATTCATGCTCTTAACCACTGCGCTAGTGTTTTTTTATCTATGTCTGTCTTAGTTACCATTGCAGTATATGTCAATATTTTTACAGTTGACAATAAAGAATAGTAAATGTGGCATGAAAAGACAACAAAATGCTAATAATCAGTATACAGAACTGAAAGTCTTCATAGTTTAAGGAACAAGGACTATAACAGAATATTTGTTCTGGGCAATGTGTAAAGGATGAAAAGAGACATAAGCATTCCTATAACTAAAGTACCAGAAACTAGAAGTAGATTTGATGATATGGGATAATGTATTATAGGAAAAGGATGAAGAGAAAATAATAAATGGAAGAACAATTAGATAGTAATCTTGGACAATGCGATCTTGGAGATCTCTGTTACTCCTTACATGAAAGTAAAATCCAGATAGATCAAGTTTTAAATGTTAAAGTCTTTGAAGAAGGAAGATAAGATTGCTTAACAATTTTAATGCTGTAAAATCCTTTCCTGAGTATGTACAACCCAGAAACAAAAGCAACATCATTAGACTTTTTGAAACTTATGTGGTGAAAAATAGCATAAACAAATCTGCAAAGAGCTCCAGGTTTTCCCATCCACCACCTCAGCAGAGCAGGTCTGCATTTGTCTGCTTTGTTTGTTGATGCTACATGTAAGGTGCCATTTGACAAAATGTTCTAACACTGGAATCAGAAAAGGAAGCAGAAGAGGAAGAAGTTGAAACCACTCTCCAGTTGTACACCCAGAGCAGTTAAATGATTTCAAGTCACAAAGTTAGCAGCATAATGTGGTCCCATGCCATTTTCTTTTTACGACCCCTTTGTTAACATTAAATGAAACACTATACTAGCTGTTGAAATAAATCTTCTTTTGC